GTACTAGCATTTTTTTCTATCTCTTTTATGATTGTTTTTTTTTGTTTTCATTTTTGAAGTGTTCAGCCTTAGGCATTTTAAATGAAAAAATTGCAGCTGTAATTTTTTGTTTTTCATGCAAAGATAAATCCTCATCCAATAGAGCTAGTGGAATCATAGTTGAGTCTAAGTACCAAGTGTGCTTGTAAAGCGAATCAAGCACAGCATCATATGCTTTTGAATTCCGACAAATATTTCTAAATTGATGCATCATTTTTGATCTGATGCATTTGATGGATAGCTTTAATATCTAAGTTGGGGGCTTTAGACACAATACTCGAGTCTAAATACCACTTGGCATAAAAACAACTGCAAAATAAACTTGATGTCTTTTTTGAAATCATTATTATTTTGAACAAAGTCATTTTGAGAAAACAAAAGCTGCATTTTCAGATAGTAAATTGCTTTAAGAAGAAAACGGGCACGATGGATAACTCCAGTTTTCCTGATTTTATAAACAAAAGAGGATATATAAGTCACAACTAATTCAGCCAGCTCTCTTCTGTCTTCACGTTTATCTTGTCCTGCTATCCCCTTCTTTTTATATATACTTTGCAAAAGTTTATAGAATTTTCAGCAGCCATTTCACTTATACTACCACTCACCTCCTTCCAGTTAAACTTGTATAGATCACTTGGCGCATAACTAAAATTAGGATGTTCAATTAATTTTAAATTATTGAAACAATAAGTTTTCTGGTCCTGTAGTCAACTCGTTTGTTGTATGTTTCCAAAAATGCGCTATTCTTAATTCTGTTATGTGATGCTTGGATGCTAATTTTAAAAATTTTTATTTAAATTGTTGGATATCTTTATGATTGAACCATTTTTGATCCCGGTATTGCTTGCAGTCGTATCAAAACAAAGACCTCCTACTTTTAATTTAGGTTCATAATACTTGTATAATGATCCTGACCAGAAGAGGAAGTTAAAGTAGGAACACCTAGTAGGTGCGTCTTACCCTCAATTTTTACAAGAACTGTTAGCTTGTCAACCTTAAACTTTTTTCCTGCATTAATTTCATAAAGAGTTTTTCCATCAAACTGTATAACACATGGATAAGGAGAAGCTTCTAAAAAACTTAAAAATTAAAAGTATTAAGTGAAAAATATCATTTAATACTTTTAATTTTTGAGTTTTACTTTTCTACTAAATTTCTTATCTTCTGTACTAAGAATAAACTTTCTTTCTTCTTCCTGATCTTTTAAAAACTGGCTTGCCTACCCAAAAAACCTTTTTTAAGTCAAAGTTTTTTTTTCTGATTTATTAAATCTTTAGGAGAGCCTCTATTTTCGTTTTTTTTTTATTAGAATACTGCTTGTCAAGTTTAATAAGATTTTTGAATAGTTGAGTGTCACTAACAATTTCAAAGCCTGCTTTTATCCAGGGTTTCTTAACTTTAGCTAAAACACAGTTACAATATAAATTTTCTTTCAAAATCTTTACGAAGCAAGCACGTAACCAAACTGATTTTTTTGGTTGTTTTCAGGCAGTATATAGATTGCAGGTATGCTAGTTGTTGCAGAATATCCATGCCAGTTGGAAGTTGAATATCTAAATGCATAATTGTTTTTGTTCATTATATTTTATTGAGATAATTTAGATCACTCTCTATCTTAAATATATAATATACATTAAGTTGTTCAAGTTTCTTACAAACTAGAAATTACCTGTAACTTCTGGTTTAGCTGCTTTAATAATGAACAATTTCTTTTTTTTATTAGATCTTAAGTTAAATTGGTTTTCAAACTCACACTTTTCGTTTTCTTTACACATATTTCTTGAGAGTTTAGTATTTACCATTATCATTAGTCTGAATAACCAATATATAAATATATATATATATATATATATATATATATATATATATATATATATATATATATATATATATATATATATATATATATATATATATATATATATATATATATATATATATATATATATATATATATATATATATATATATATATATATATATATATATATATATATATATATATATATATATATATATATATATATATATATATATATAGGGAAGAGTCGGGTAGCCCCGGACACTTAAGGAAAATATAGATTGTGCGCATATGCTAACAGAAAAAAAAGTGTCAAAAGACTTTTATTAAATGTTCAAACATTCATCTATCGAATTAGAAACAAAAAAATAATTATTATGTATCTTAATAATATACAAAACATAAAAGAAAAAATGTTAGAAAAAAGGCATGTTTCAAAATTGGAGGGTAACCCCGGACACATAGTTTAACCATGGTTTTACCTCTTTTTTTTACCAGTGTGACTTAAATGTAATATATAATAATTTAGCATTGGACTGTTCTTGACACATTTTTAAAAAAATCGCCTTGAAAAATTGCCTCTGATATTTATAGAATGAGAATGAAAATGTCATCATTTAAAAATATAAACATAAGCTTTTTTATAATGAAAATAAACACTTTAAAAACACTTTTTTCAAATGTAATGTTTTTTTTATTGGAATTAAATGAATTACTGTTATAGGTGTGTGTACTATACTAAATGTATTAATATTTATGTAAAAAAAGTTGTTTTTTATTAATATGTAAGCGAATTAAGTTATCCGAAGCCACCCTCCAAACATGTGTTCGATACCACCCGATCATACCTCATTCACAAATACTAGTTTTAAAACCAGTGAATTGAACTTTTTAACGAATTTTTTTTTTTTAATAACTATTGTAAATAAAAATATATTTTTAATCATTAAAAAGTTATTAGCTTACATAAAAATTAGGTATATTAATATGTGAATCAAATATGATGATACGTAGCTCTCTGGTGGTGGGAATCAAAATCTTGCCCTCCCAGTCATTCGCTTGAACATTTTATGATATTTTAAGATACTTTGCATATGCCATATTTTCACTCAAATTATTTTATTCTAGTATTAAAAGTCAAATAGCTACTTTAGTTTAAGCTGTACATCAAGTGTCCGGAGTTACCCGCCGTCCGGGGCTACCCGACTTTCCCCTATATATATATATATATATATATATATATATATATATATATATATATATATATATATATATATATATATATATATATATATATATATATATATATATATATATATATATATATATATATATATATATATATATATATATATATATATATATATATATATATATATATATATATATATATATATATATATATGTATATATGAGAGGTGTTCAGAAAAAAAAATAGAAAATTTGAAAAACCAAACAGTCTAGATCTTAAAATTTAAACAAACAAAGTTATTTTAAAAAAACATTTTATTAGACATTTTATATAGCATGGTTTTAAAGTTGTAAGGGTCGTATAAACGTGTTTTGACGCTTATTTACAGTCCTTTCGTGTAGTGTTAAAAATCGCACCGTATATCCATAACTGAAAACTTTGATAATATTGTATTGCATTTTTTTAACATGGTAAGTAATAATTTTATACTTAATAGTATTTATACTTTTTTTACATCATTAATTGTGTCGTTATATTTGTTGTTTTTAAGCACTAGATTTTTCATTGCGACCGTAACGACAAAAAAAACACAAAAGTGTTTGTAAAACTTCAAGTAAAAACTGTAAAACTCAGCATATAATAACATCAATATTTGCTAAATACACACACCAAAGGATTTTTTTTTTACCATGCCGTTCGCTGCATTAAGTCTGACAAAGTTATTTTGTTCAGAAGTGGTAAAAAGTAAGCGTTACGACCGTCACGCTACTTAGAGTTAATTTTTGAAAAAAGTTCAAGACTTTAATGTTGTAACTTACATACGAATTGATATAAATATAAATTATATGATAGTATTTCTCATTTTTGGAAAGTTTCAAGTCATTTCTGTTTTATATGCCGTTACTTTTGGCTTTAGTTTTTTAAGAACATAGGAAACCCACTAAAACAATTTTATTTTAGTTCACAAAAATATAATAATAAAACAAAATAATAATACAATTAGACCACTAAACCATGGTCTGTTTGTATTATTAGACCTAAATTGTTAATGCTTCATTATTGCTTAATGCAAATCCATAAAATTCTGGAATAAAATGAGCGCTTGCCAAACTAAATAAAATATCAGGGAATAAATATGACCCCAGAAAAGCACAAAACATATATACATTTTACTTTTTTCATTTTGTTTCAAACTTGAGTAAACAAATTATTCAAAAGAGAATAAAAGTCAAACATTCCCCTTTTTTAATAAAGATTTTTAAAAAGTTGAAAATTAGCTGAAAAACAGAGTTATTAACAAGGTCAAAAGTAACAAAGCCAAGGCCAAGGTTAAAGCCACATGTTACAAGGCCAAGGCCGAAAGTTACTTGGTCAAGAATAACAGTTTCAAGGCCAAGGGTTGGCCAAACCAAACATTTTCAAGACCAAAGACTGAAATATTTGCTCTACTTTAAAGCCAATTATCAACAAAACTGTAGGTACCAAGTGCTGTGACAATAAAACCACATGTTGTGAAATTAGACCAAGATTATGCGCAGAATTCAACGAAGTTAATAAGAAATTACACTTGTAGATATTTATGAAAGCCGAAAACAAAAATACATAAAAATAAAGAATGAAAACTTTTATTTCTTTAATTTTATGTTGTTTTTTTTTGAAGGACAAGACTAAAACAATAAAGGCTTAGGCCAAAAGTTTTATGGCAAAGACCAAGGCCTTAATTTTTGGCCTTAAGGTAAGGCCGAGGCTAAGGACTAACAACTCCGGCTGAAAGTGAACGAGTGTCAGCACCTAAAATAGATTTATAAATTTTGCTCGATTATTTCAATTTTGTTTATAAAACTTTTTTGTTTATTTTAGTAATAAAAATAATTTTAATACAGAAATGCTCACGATTCTAAACAGTTATTTTTGTCGATGCATTTTCAAGTTTTAAATTTGGTAAGACGTCGGAAAAAACAAAACAAATTGCATAAAGTATTTATTTAAATAAGTTAAATGTTACAAAGCGATGAATTACCGACGAATTTAAACAAATATTACAATGTGCAGGAGTACCGAAGAATTCAAATAACGCTGACTATCCAAATAATTGTTGTTTCATGGTCTTTTTATCTTCATTCATATCTTATTAATGTATTTATATTAACTTAATAAAGAAATATAACAAGTTAAATCATAATTCTTCTATAGTTCTAATCCCATAGTTTTATCAAGCCATCCCAACCGCAAGTAGCTATTTTCGACGTTTCGTGAGGGAGCCATTCGCAACCTATGCACACTTGGTCATGCGCTTTAAATTTGCTAAAATAAAAAAAGTATTTATACTTATTAGCAATAATGCAATGCAATATTGTAAAGCTATACGCTGATGTTCTAATGTTATACGCTAATGTTGGAATGCTACAAGCTGTTGTTAAGTTATACGCTTATATTGACTGCTGCAATGCTATCCGCTTACGTTGCAAAGCTACACTCAAACATTACAATACTGTACTCAAAAAGTATTGGAATATCTTACACTTTAACTATACTTTTAACTTACGAGTATAATTTAGTTGTCTTCCAGTCCCATATATTAAGTTTTCCATCAGCATCACCAGAAACAAGATAACTTAAACAAAAAAAGCATTAAATAATGATATCAAGTCACTAAAAAATTATTTAGTTTTAATCATGAAACGATCGCAAAGAAGTAGTAAATTAAACGTCAAGACTTTTAATTTTATAGTTTTTTGAAAAATAATAAAATGTTTAAATATACTTATAATAGTAAAACAGTTCAAAAGTTTTTTCTCTAAAAACGCAAATTTTATTTAAAAATTTATTATACTACTATCTTTATATATTTGCAAGTAAGTAAGTAATCCATTTATTTAATCATAAAATATAAAAATTTACAATAATATTTTATTAACTCACATAAATAAGGTTAGGTGTCACTCATATAGTTAAAAACTAGTCAAGTGACACCTAAAAAATAAAATTAAAAAAAAACTAAATAAAACATAAAAAGAATTTAATATAAAATAAAGAGGAAAAAAAAAAGGAAAATAAGGAAAATAAAGCACTAATTGGTGCTTTATTTTCCTTTTTTTTTTTCTTTCAATTTTGAAATTAATAATATTATCTTTATTTATTAATAAATAAAGATGATATTTTTAATTGCAATAAAATATAAGAAAAATAATAATAATGATAATAATATGAATAAAAAAAACATTACAAATAGTAATTATAACATGTTAACTTTACTAAAAATTACAACTAATGATAAAAACTATGGTAAAAATAATTATAGTAAAGTTTATAACTATGACAGAAATTATTAAAATAAACATAACATTAGCAAAAATTAGGACAATAACCATAAAACTTTTACTAAAATTGAATCACTATCACTATCGTCATAAATTATATTAATAAGATTTCTAAAGGTAAAATTAATAATATTATATTAATAAGATTTCAAAGGTAAATTAATGATAATAGTAATATTAGTAGTAGAGTTAAAAAAAAAAAGCATAAAATAAAAGTAATAATAGTTTTATAAATACAGTAATATAAAAAAAAGCAATAATAATAAAAGATAAAATTAATATTCATTAAATATATATTCAAATAAAAATTTCTTAATTTGGTTTCAATTGAGAACAAGAATGTCGGTAATAAAAGGGTATTTAGTTAAAATCTTTTTTTTGATAAATGGTATTATTTTGTTTCAGTGAGAAATGCATTGATGTTTTATAGAGATTTATACATTTTTCTACAGAGATTTATACATTTATATATTTACTTAATAAAAAACAAGCAAAAAAAAAAAAAACTAATACTCTGTAAACAAATTAAATATTGATAACATAGATAAAAAACTAAATAGCTTGTTTGCAAATTTCGAGTAGCTCTTTATTTAGATAACCTTTAAGACAATATTTATTTTATTTTACTACTCGAAACTTTAATTAAACACATCATTAGTATATAGGGGAAGTGGGGACAAACCGCCCCATAACGTTTGGATTGATGTTATATGAAAATAAAAGTGAAATATGTCTTTTTAACAGTTTATTTCAATAACCACATTGCTGAGCTTTAAATTGCTGCAATTAGAAAAAAAATAAAACGGGTTTTGAAAACGTTATTAACTTAGTGAAAAAACGGTTTTGCCCCAATTGTGAGGCACAACCGCACCCTCACAAAAGTTGTTGAAGGTACACTTTTCATGGTACATTTTTTTTAAATTAAGAAATCCACAATTATATACCTATGATATATAATAATATAATAATAATTAGATATACATAAATATAACAAGATATCAATTTATACTCTAAACTTTCTATTTTAATCAAAAACTCAGAGAAATTAAATTAAAAAAAAACGAAATATAATTTCTAACATCTCAAAACAAAACTATTTCTATTCAAGTTTTTACATGAACGCATTTAAGTGTGACAATTGTATATATTGTTATCGGTAATTACCTAACTTTGATAAATATCAAAAGTATGCTGTTGTACCTCTTGTGCGTCTATGCAGTTTTGGCCCAGAGGAGAGTTTTTAGAAAGAATGCAGTTTCATAGCTTGCTTATTAGGTTATGTTGATATCAAAAATGGTTTTCATTTAATGAAATAATGCTGATAACACATATCTTTAACCCTAAAATTAATCCTCAAAAGAAAGGTCTAGAAAAATATGATTTCTCAGAAACGTATCAGGTATCTTTTTGACATAATAAACGTATCAACGTATCTTTTTGACATAAGCGAAATGAAGGAAACTGTTTTACCAAAGCGTGGTATGTTTTTTGCCATATTAGATAACATTTTTCAAAGGGAAATGTTAAAAAACAGTTGTGCCTCCATGTGCGGTTATGCCACCACATCCACTATAATCGCTTTAAATCGCTTTTTTCTTCTCCTTGCATTTCATGGTTAATCAAATTTTTATGTTAAAAAAGCAAACAACAATTACAACAAAAACAAAACAGTAATTGTTTATAAGTATAGGGCAGGGTGGGGTAATGTTGGCCCATAAGGTAATGTGGATCTCATCAACATTTGTTAGTTTTTTAGAAGAAAGGCTTTATGTAGAACTTTTTTTTCTATTCTGTGTGTTATAGGTGGGTTCGATAGGTGGGTACGACAGCTCTCTAAATTTTAACTAGATCAGATTACAAAGCAATTTCTTAAGTATTTTTTTGATTTGAAATGATGTATATAACAGATTTTTATCAAAAAAGTTTAACTTCGAAAAAAGGGTTTTCAAAATTAGCTCTAACATATAGAAAACACTTTTTCTGGAAGAAAAGTTACTAGATAATTAGGTTCAATTAGTTTTAAGAGGGGAAGATGCATATTTTGAAACTAACCAAGTAGTAGGGTGGGGTAATGTTAGCCTTTATGTCAATGTATTTTGTGCTTTTAAGAATCCAATACTTATACAGCAATAAACTCTTTTAAAATAAGAAGTCTATGATTTTGGACTCATTTTTCTGGAGTCATGTTGCTAACGATCCCATTAGATGATTATTAAAGATGTAATGATATTGTATTTATCATTGATATTAGTTTATTACGCAGTGTGGCAGAAGCATAACACATTAAATTTTTATTATATAAATCTGACATTTTTGTAAAATGATGAACCTTTAATGCATAACAAAAAAAACTTTTAGTTAAATTTTAATCGATCTTTTAAATTCTTAAACAGAATTTAATCATGCTTAGATTTATTATAAATACTTGGACTTTCAAATTTGAATTCAAAATGAAGAGTTATAATGTGATTTATTTTATATAATTAGACAAATGTAAAATAAAAAAGTGGGAACTGCAAGAAAGACATTTTTCAGAGAAAAGCTAATAAAGATTAAAAAATATTTTGTATTTATAATTTAGTGCTTTAAATGTGTAAAGTTATTTTTCATTTAAAGCATTTAATGAAGTATTATTATGTCTAACCTTATGATCAATTAAATTCATTAAGTATGTATTATATATACATACTCAATGAAATCAGTCATATTTTATTATGAGTTAGTATTTTTCATTGAAAAAAGATAGAAATGTGACCAAGACTAAAATTACCTAAATGAGGTAATAAGGGTCTATTAAATAAAACTCAAATTGATGCTACTTAAACAAATTTAAAAATTATATATATAAACTTATTTTGATGTAATATGTAATGATGTAATATGTAATGATGTAATATGTAATGATGTAATATGTAATGATGTAATATGTAATGATGTAATATGTAATGATGTAATATGTAATGATGTAATATGTAATGATGTAATATGCAATGATGTAATATGTAATGATGTAATATGTAATGGTACCCTTATTGTGCTCCACATAATATTTAACAAAGTTATTTGAATTAGCGTTAAATAATAAAATACCTCATGTCTGGGGAAAAGTTGACTTGACAAGCATATCCAGCATTCTTAAAAAAATAGTTTTGAATGGTAAATGCGTTTATATATACATGTATATATACACACTTACATACATACAAACATACATAATTACATACATTACGGTTAATAATTATTTAAATGGCATTAACTTTTTATAAATATACTATTTTTAAACTATTTTTTATGTTTATTTTTGCACTATCAAATAATTTTAAAATATATTGGTTAAAATGCTTTGATAAAAATCATAGGAATTAAAGGCAAAACTACGTAAAAAAATGGATCATCAATAACTGTAAACGCAGACCGACGTGTAAAAGTTTTAAATCTTTGATTTCAAGATTGATCGTCCGAAAAAATTTATGATAAAGTGATGTATTATTGACTGCAAAACATAGTGGATGTAGTGTTAGGGTGTGGGGCTAAATTGGTTAGAATGCCACAGGTGATTTTAGAAAAAAGAGGGAATGGCAAAAGTAGTTTACTAGCATACTTTAAAAAAATTGTTACACCTTTGGAAAGATGGGTTAATGAGAAGTTATTTATTTTTTCAAAAGAAAATGACTTGAAGCTTAAATCTAAAATAGATATTTCAAAAACTTGTTTTAGTTATTTGACTTAGTTCGGAAACAATCAAATATTAAATAAAATGATTCAGCCTCTCTAATCACAAGATCTCTCTCCTATCAGATTTTTTTAAAGAAGAATCAAAAGTAATGTCAAAAACTAATGCCAAATAATGCATAAGATATGGACGAAACTTATTAGTGGCACATAATTGATTTCAACAAAATCAATACGTTGTTAAATAGAATACCAAGAATATGTATGGCGGTTGTTGTTGCTAAGGGTGATTAAAAGTCAAGTAAATAAAAAATTAATCTAATTGGACTTATACTAATTTTTTTGTAAAAAAGAAAGACAACATATAATTCAGGTAGACTTTACTTACAGTTTCTCTCCCAATAGTAAATAAAACTATGATTTTTACCTTATTTTGAAAATTACGACTATTCGAATAATTATGGACGGTAGTGTATATATACATATTTATACATACATACATACATACATACATACATACATATATATATATATATATATATATATATCAGGTCTTGTTACAAGATTTCGTTGCGTAATGAAAATGCATAACGCATTTTAAAGTAACTCAACTTAGCTTACATATTTATATCGTTAAAAGTTAAATTTTGTCACTAGAGTAATTTCAAGAATTGTTATTTTCAAACCGCGTTAAAAATCATTAAAACTCTTTCAATTATTTAACTTTTACAGTTTAACTAAAACAAACGTTACAAATAAAATCTTAACTCATATTTAAAATAGATTATTATTATTATTTTTTTAATGTTCCAAAAAAACTATTATTTGCTTTATTACAGTTTAGTTTTATGCTGACTATTAACCTGTTGATCTTTTGCTTTTGCTTCTTTATTTTCCTTTAGGTCATTTGAAAATTGGATCGCATTTTTGTGGACAGAACTTTGTAAATGCCGAGAAATGTCATCTATTTTAATGTTACGTGCCCCATTTATATAACGTTATGAAGATGTTCTTATTGCTTCTTTCGGTATTGGCCAAGATATTATTTTGATAAAGTGCAGATACATTAACGAAGAATTTTACAAATTACGTAATTTCATTCTCTTCAGCAGTTTCTGTACAAATAGTTTCTAAAAGATTCCATTTTTTAAAAGTTTTCAAAGTGACTCCTTTTTTATTTAAACTGTTATGCTTTAGTTAAATTATGTTAATTTGATAAATTAAAAAAAAATAGAAAGATTGAATATTTTATTTGTTGAAAGCCATAGTAAACTTAAAACCCCTTATAAAAGAAATGTCATTAAGAAATAACAAATAATTATCATAAGCTAGAAGTTTATTCTGCTTTATTAAAAACACGTTGAAGTTATCTTTTTTTTAAAGCAATTCTAGTCTAGAAACAAATTTAAGGCGTATTAAATGATAACCAACCTTACTAAGTGTAATAATTGTTTTACTTTGATTTGTAAATGTAGCAGCATGCGTCTTTAATTTTTTCCAAATGAGTATAAAATTTTCTTATCCAATAGTTATTAACTAAGTAACATTTTAGTTGTGAGCAGTGTAACAGTTCTAGTTACCAATGAAAGATCCATAAAATCATTGTGATTACAAGGAAAACATTTTTAGAAACAAGAAAAATTAATTATGCTAAATAGTATCATTTTTTTCTTAAGTATTTGTTATAAATATTAATTTATGTATAAATTTTTATGAATATCATCGATGAGGTAATTTGAGTTTAAATACTTGAGTAACCGAATCTGGTCAATCATTTGCAATCTGACCAAGGATATAGTTTTTCAGTCATATCACCATTTTGGAAATTTAAAGTATTAAAAAGATCTGTTTTTATTTTGTTTCTTTCTAATAGTTGTTAGAAGTTTCATTTATTTCTGAATAAAACATCACATAAACAACATCAAAAGATAATTTAAATATTTCAAAAGATATAAGTTTTTGCATAAAGTAAAATTGCTGAACACGTAGGCAAATTGCTTGTAAAATGCAAGCAATTTGCGTAAGCGTAACATTTCTTAACAAGGCCTGTATATATGTATATGTATATGTTTTTATTTTAATTTTATTAAAATGTTAGCTTAAAAAGATTTAAACTTTTTTTTTAATCTGAATATTTTCTACTTGTAAATAATGTGCATATTTAATTTTTATAATTTAAACTTTTAAATTAACTGCGTGCGGTTTTTAAAATACTTTATTAAATGTTAAAATAATCGTAAACTACTTCATTAAAATTCCGCTCAAAATATCTTTAAATATACAAAACAAAAAATTTTTTGCTCGATGCAAATCGCCCTAGCTACACACAAAATCGCTCTTGGACGATGTAAAATTCACATTGCCCGACGCTTTATCGCAAGGCCTGATATATATATATATATATATATATATATATATATATATATATATATATATATATATATATATATTCTATAAAAATACAACACAAAATAGATCAATTGATATTAAAACAATATAAATGAATTAAAATTTTTCATGGAACTCTAGGTTTTTATGCCATTCAATAGTCAAATTTTCATTTAGACAAAGGTTACACTTTTTTGTGAATGGATTGACATCCTTTAATCATGATCCATATAATAGGCATGTTACCTGTATTTATCTTTATGTTTCCAGACTTCTTTAGATAGTTTAATACCATCTGTGTACCTGGTTGCATTGAAAGATTTTAAGCATTTTGAAAACCTACGCTTGAATGTATTTTCACTTACACTTATATAAGATTTTTCTGTAAGACTGGGATTGCTGATGTTATAGTGACTTAAAATATAACATTTTGGATAAGGTGGTTATCTTAAGGTGGTTATATTAAGGCGAACGAAATCAAATTTACTAGATTGTAAAATTTTTTTTAACTAACTCAAATTTATCCGATTGTGAAAATTTTAGAGGAAAAAATAAATTTACTGCCACAAAAATAGCAAAGTTCATTAAGACTCTCACAACTTACATATTTTAAAAATACTTACTATTATATGGCAAACACGGTTAGCAGGGATCCTTATAATGCCTACCTAGCTGTCCCAAGAACGCTACTTATACGGAAAGTTAGCGTACACATCAAGGTACCCTGTGATGCAAATTTTGAAATCATTTAATTTTGTCAGCGGAAAATAATTTAATTTGAATGTTCAAATTAAGTCAAATTTTGACTTCATAGTGCGCCAATAAACTTGTAGAATTTGAACCACTCAATATAATTTGATAAAAATTGGTGCAAATGTAGCCGATAGTCACACCAAACTTTGGACAAAATTTCAGCCTGATTGGATGACTAGTAAAGGATTTATTGCAGTTTTAGTTAAAGTTTTGTCAGTTTTTTGCTACTTATACCACAAAGCATTACCGATTACTTTGAAATTCGATCACTATTTTTAAAATAACGGTTACATGAGTGTTCTTCTATGTAATACCAACAATTTTTGTTAAAATCATTTTATCGGTACATGTACAGCTTTCATTTTATAGACCAAAATAGTGATTTTCTATATAAAGCGTGATTTAAATAGTGTTATGCTAATAGTGTCGACATGGCCTTCAAAGTGGAGATCTAATGCAACACCCCACCCCCCACCCCCATTACCACAAATCAGCGCAAGGTATAAGGAGGGGGGGGGGGTGAAATTTTTTTTTTTCACGTTAATTCGAGCCCTGATATACTTCTTGAAATTTATCTAGTGTTATTTCTTATTAGTCAAGACTTTTTTTCAGTATATATGTTAAAATTATTTAAGTATAAATCCCGCCGGATACTTTAGTCAGTAGAATAGTTCCTTTCAGAGATAATTCTTTATTGGAAATAACTCAAGATGCGATTTGTTTGGATGATTTAGCATTTTTTGCTGCTAAAGATTGAATGTTTTCCCTTAACATTATTTGAGAGCATTGGTGGGGCAAACCTTTTCCTAAAGGGCTGAGGGATTTGCTGCAATGTACCTTTAGTTTTTTCTCAATAGTTGTTTGCTTTATAAGAGGATGTTTTTCTTGCAGCTTTGTACGACCAATTCGGCATATTAGGCAACAACACATCGTGCCTCGTGTTTCAGGTCTCACTTGTATTGACTTAAAATCAAACAAAGGAGGGAGTGCAACCTCTTTCCCGTCTTGTTTCCTGCTTAAAGTAACTCTACACGATTCGCAGAATCCTTTTGGTACACAACTATCAATGATATTGATCTTGGTCTTGTACAGTTGGCATATTCGATCTGCTAGAAAAGTAGTAAGCTGTCTTAATCATTTTTTCAGACAGAGCAAGCACACAAACTTTCGATTTTCATCATGATTCTTTGCTTGATTTGGCATCGTGGCAATTCACTAAATTTGACTTCACTAAATCAAACTCTGCCTTTTACAAAATTTGGCCTAAATTTATATTTGATAACAATTCACTTAACATAGTAACACATAATATTAAATTAAA